TATATATATATATATATATATATATATATATATATATATATATATGCATACACATATATTAACGAAATAATTTTTTTCCTCCATACAGGATGCTGGATTTGCATCACGTGTATATGAAGGACCCCGATTAGGCGTTATTATCAGATTTACATTCGATAGATGTGCTAAGTATTGCGAGACAAACTCTCCAAGTGCCTCGGTAGCCTAACAGGGAAGGCGACGGCCCGGAAAGCCGGAGATTCCAGGTTCGACTCCTGGCTGAGGAGTTGTTTTCGCAATATTTTAAAATTAGTTAGGGGGGTATACGGGGTCCTTCATATACACGTGATGCAAATCCAGCATCCTGTATGGAGGAAAAAAATTATTTCGTTAATATATGTGTATGCGTATATATATATATATATTCAAGCACATTCTCTGCATAACATCCTGCAAAACGGCTCGACTAACCCGATTTTAATTCATTCATTAGTTCTAATATAAATCGTCTATATAAATAACTGGTTTCTTTGATTTGTTTTGTTTCAAATGTGTAACAGACAGACCTCACAAGTTGGATCTCTTCTTGATTGTTGCAGTGCGGCAGCGGCGGTAGCGGAAGTGCTGGCGGCGGTGGCGGCGGCGACGGTTCGACGGAGGGCGTCGTGGTGAGCGTCGGTGCCGGGAACGGCATTGTTGGTGGCAACGGTGGCAGTGGCATGGACTGCATGCCCCTACGCCCCGGTCCGTTTCACTATCTGATCAGTGAGCAAGCCAAGTCCCTGCAGGAGCTGCAGAATGAAGTCGGCGCTCTGCTCGAGTTTCGGGATCTCGTTATCGAGACGTTCCCAAACCTCCGGCACAAGATGGCCGCGACGGCGTCCGCGGGTGCGTCCGTGATGTCCAGCTGTGCCCAAAGCTCGCACATCCCATTACCATTGTCGAGCCCATCGTCACGACGGATCGGCGAATGGGAACCTGGCAAGATTCGGCGACGAGTTACGCGCGGTGAGGGTAACGGTGGGGGAGGCGAATCTTCGTCCTCGCTGCCTAGGAGTCGCAGCAACTCTCACAGCGGCGGCACCAAGAACAACTGCAGCGCGACAGTCCAGGACTCCGGATTCAGCACGGAGACTTCGTCGAAGGACAGCGCCTCGACGGCGATCGCGCCCCGAGCGAGCAGTCCGCGGCCGAGCGCGCTGGACGAAGCGGAGGATGAACTCTGGAACTTGTTGGATGTGATCCACCGTAAGGGTATCCGATTACGGGAAGAGGTCGAGTGTCTTCAGGGTCGTCTGGAAAGTGTGGCATCGGAAGAATTGGCGTCAACGGATGTATTGGAGGCTGTGAAGAAAGTTACCGGTCTTGGCGATGCTGAAAGAACGATTGATCACGATGGCAATGTTGTTGACGAAGATGTCGATAGGCAGCAAGATCCGCAGGTTATAACGCTCAGGCGGGAAAAGGAACAGCTGTTGGACAAGGTGGCCGAACTCGAGGCAGAAACGATATCGAGTCGCGCGCGTTGTCAGGAGCTGCAAGCCGAGCTGGCCGCTCTGTCGGCTTTAAAGACTGGTCTCGAAGATCGATTGCGGGCTGGACTGTGCGAGAACGCGACTTCGGAAATTGTAGCACCGGGTGCTCAAAGATTGCAACCAATTGCACCGGTGATCATCTCGCCAAAAAAGGCCAACGTTAGCAATATTAAGAGCAAGAGTTCGGCTTTCACGTCGGTGAACGGCAGTCCCGGGAGCAAAGTTGACAAAAGTCGCTTTCGAACGAGGACTATAGAGAAGAACGTGTTGCTGGACGTGGTCGGACGCAATGAAGAACCACGCAAGATCGATATAGACGTAGACGCCAATGTGAAAGAAAGACGAATCAGACTGGGAGCGCTCGATTCCATTCTGATATCGCCCGCTAAAGTGACTCACGTGATGAGGAAGGACGTAGATTCGAAGAAGATAGTAGCCATTCTTCACGAGCGCTCGCATCTTGAGCTTCAGCGGCATCTAATCACCACTACCGTCCATAATCAGGTAAGATATATAATAATTGTCTGTTTTATGTATATATATGAAAGAGAATAAACTTTTAGTTAAGTTTCATATTAACGTTTTGATTGAAACTTATTTGCAGGTCCTACAGAAAAAGTTAGATGAGGTTCAAAAAAGTACAGAAACTCTTTCCGAGCGATTAGACAAAGCGCGGGAAGAAAACGATGATTTGCGGTTCCAGGTGAGCGGGAATCAAAATTGTATGCGGCATGAGTTTTTTTTTATTTGAAAAAATTTCTTCAAAACACATCCTATATATAAGTTCCAAATGCATTAAATTTTTTTGTTGTTTTTTTTAGATAGCATCTATTTTTATGTAACACAAAGCAACATGTTCAAAAATAATACGCGTCTTTCAGTTAGAGGAACGGAACATCGAACTAGAAGGCACGCGAGCGCGAGTGCGCGTGTTAGAACGTCTTCAGCAACGACCGCCGACGGAGGCTGAACCCGAAGACTCGGAACAGTTGAGATGTGAACAGAGCGGTCTTGAGCCCGGTAGCAGTACGGAATCCGCGCGAGATCATCATCAGCCGGTAGAGATCAAACCGTCGCCGCGGCGACGTCCTAGTCGTATACCTTTACCGGGCAATACAAGTGGCAAGACAACGTCGACGACATCGACAGCAAGCGCGACCGCAACGACGCCGCCGCGACCACCTAGTCACGGCAGAAACGACAGCAAGGAATCGCTCAAGTCACTTACGAGACCGCCGCGTGATTCTAGTCGCGACAGTCATAGCGGTGGCAAATCGCTGTCGAAAGCGCGCGACTCGAGTCGGGACTCGCTCAACAACAGAAGTCTGTCTAGAAACGGCGGATGCAATGGAAGCAGCAGCGGTAACGGTGCCGGGAGCAACAAGGAAACAAATAGGGAATCGTCCTTGAACAACCGCTCTCTGCCTCGTAATAATTCCAGCCGAGACTCCCTAAACAAATCTTCCTCGCTGTCTCGCGCCCGTGACTCACTGGAGTCTAACAACAATGCGTCCTCGCCTACGACGGGGACGATTAATGCCCCGCCTCGACGACCGCCCGCACCGGCGCGTCGTTCCCACAGCCTGGCGCGCGCGGCGACGTCTGTCGATACGTCCGAGAACGGCAAGGTACGACCCGTAAAGCAATTTTTTTGGAGCAGCTGGCTGAAGTCACCGTTGTCCAACGGCCCGATACAGTAGAGAGGGCAGCCTTCTCATCCCGAGGACGATGGGCCGTAGTCGTTCTCTCTTAGGGACTCAATCATCGCCTCCGAACAATGTTCCCTTCGAAGTCCACCTCTTCTTTTTATCCCTCAGATTACGTTAATTCTCCGATGGAGTCCTGTATCTCTGCCGTATCGATTTTTGGGCTCGGCTAGACAGACTAAAACGGTGTCGTCGGTTCTTTAACATCGTCGCTTCCACTTGACGATCAATTCTTCTTATACTGTATATCTATTTCTCACTTTTTCTTACATCTTGCCACTGTGACTACCAACTGTTACTGGTACTACTGTTACGTTACGTCGTTACTGTGTACTATAACAGCTACTATATCGGCTACGGTAATATATGCGCGTTTATAACCGATATAATTTAGTACGCGCGGTTTTTCTGTGATACAGACATATCAGCATTGACTTTCTCGCGACATCTTTTTTTTCTCCATTTATTTTTCCCATTCATTCTTCCATTTTCCCGATTCTCCTTTTTTTCCTTCGTTCGACCGCGGACTTCGACACGGTGTCACCACGATGTACGATTACATAAAGAAACGGAATTTCCGTTTTTGTTTTTTTTTTTCCGCTGCCACTGTCTTTGCCTTGTAAACCAAATGTTCCTGAAAAAAAAAAAAAACGCATCTCTAACACTAATACGTGCAGAGTGTCTCGAACGAGCAAATCGACCGAGATTTTTGTCATAAAACCACCACAATTGCTCGCCCGACCGTCTACCAAAATCAATCTGACCTGGAGGGCAGGCGAGCGTGCGTTCGAGCCCGTCCCCATCGGCGGTCCAATAAAGAAAGAAAGTGGCCCCTTCTCGCGTGCCGCCGGTTTTTTCTCGTAAGTTATGCTTTTTTATTATCATTTGCTTCGATGCTTCTTTTCTGGATGTGGTGAGCTGTATAGCCTCTTTTGTCTCTTTTCAACTCACTTTCATACTCCTTATCTACACCAGTAGAGAGTGTACACCATAGTTTGAACATTTTTTCACTTTAAAATAATGGCACGCGCACGTATACCTATAGTCAAATCTTCCAGAATGTGTAAGTAAGAATTTGTGCTTTATATGCTCCTGAATATAAATTGCGTTGAGTTTTGATCGCCAGCTTTCGGAATGTAGCTAACAGCAATTTTTTTTATACATTATAAGATTTGAACGTAGAGCTAATTTTTGTAGACAAACCGTGTTTAATCGCTCATTTTGGTATTGTCAAGTATAGCGTATTTGGTATTTTTACATATATATTGTTATTTTGAATTCTACTATAAACAAAATAAAGTTTTTTTTTTTTTTTAAATAAAACGCTAACACTATAGTATCAAATGTAGACTAGCAATAGAAACTAATAAATTCTTATCTTAGTTTTCTAATCTTGAACATTTTTCAAGTAAAATTTTATGATCTTGGAAATTGGTGTATATAAGATATGAAAATAAATATATATATATATATATTTTTTCAAAGTCACATTTGATTACGAAGGGTTTACACGGAGAATTATTCGCTCTTTGGATTTCGCTGCTTTTACTCTTTCTTTGCGATTTTTATTTATTTATTTATTTATTTATTTATTTTTTCTATTTGCGAGATATCTGTTGATTCGTGCATGATTCGTGCGGCCGATCAGTTTATTTAAAAGTTTATTTATTTAAAAGAGTTTACACATTCGTCACACACAATATATATACGAGCTTTTGTGTGTCGCGAGATTGAAAAAAAAATAAGGTCGACAGCTGGACACAAAGTGGCAATCTTAATTACAAGCACGTTTAAGATTTATTATTTTTTAATTAATACCTCCGCAAAGACACAATTATACACGCCCGATCCGACATCTGTGTTTTATTTACCTCACACTCCTGTATATTCCGCCAAAAAAAAAAAAAACATATTTTCAAGCATCTCTTATTCTCACGAGACGACATAGAGACGAGAGAGAGAGAGAGAGAGAGAGAACATTTCATTTTAGCACGCATCCTTCCGATCGTCATGAACATTCGTCTCGCGCGCCAGCGAGATCTTCTTCCTAGCTCTCATTGAAAAACGTACGTTTGTGTGTTAAGTTGGTTTGTGCTCTTTTTTTTTGTTTGCTAAGGTTTGATCTTATTTGCTAGAGCGTTGCTTGTATACGGACGTAAAAGACCGAGAGAGCCGTCGCAGTCTAAACTACAGTCGTACGTTTTGCGACCAGCGATTTTTTTTTAGGGAAAATGAATCGACCACACGCTTACCTGCTTGGCCTTGCGGTTCATTGTCCATCTCATGTTCAGCAGTACCGCGCGCGAAATTTATTATTATATATTCCACTTGCAAAGATAATTTCACGAGACGCTCTCTTTTTAATTATTATTCTCTTAATTCTGTTATACGAAGTGTTTATATTTTTTTCTGAATTTTGACTGAATTCAAATCAAGCATACAGTTTGTTTTTATGTAAGATTTTTACTTTGATATCTCTTTTTTTTTTTTTCAATTACCATGTTACGTAACAGAATATTATAATATATCTTATGTAATATACTATATGTCTCAGCATTAAAACAGCCAATGTGTTACAACTTCTCTTATTTTTAATGCGCAATATATGCAAAATAATTTATGTTACATAGCAAAGTTGAGAGACAATGGTTGTTTCAATTCTTGGGTTTAAATTAAAATGATCAATCTTCGTATCGATAATATTCAAGATGATATATACATAAGCCGGTAGTCTCAACAAGAAAAATCTCCTTGCTTGTAGAATAGCCGTCTTATTTATTGTGACTAACAGACGTCTATAATATTTTTCAGAACTGCACCGAACCAATGAGCTCTTTATGTTCGACCAACAGCAGCTTCCGTCACAGCGATTCATCGCTCTATCCAGATTCCCTGAATCAAGAAACGTCATCTGTCACCGGTTCTACGCGGGTAGAATTTATAATTGGCTCGCCCACCAGACGTTTTCGCACGAGCGCCACGTGGTCGCATCGTTACTTCGACAGCATCGATTCGACGGCCACGGTGCCGAAGAGTTTACTGACCGACGAGTTTCCTCTAGGACGCGGCGAGGCTCTCGCCGAGTGCGATTCGCTTGAGTGTCATCAGATTTCTAGTGACTATTAAGAACAACGATGATCATTGAGTCATCTAACTTTACGCTAAATACTAAATGAATATAACGAGTCTCTACAGCGAACTCTTGCTTTTGTTTTTCTTCTTCTCATCTTATGTTGTAATCTAAATCTGCGTGGCCTTATCACGTGGACGTCTGAATGAAATTCTAGACACGTAAAACATTGGTTCAGAGAATGCGATACGCGTCGAAGTGACCCTAATTCCTGTGCCTTTTTAATCTCTTGTGTTTTTTTTCCCTTCAAAAAACATCATTGTGCTAGCAAAGATGATTTTAAATTTGCAATAATCCACAAAACAATCTTTTTTAATTGAATTAAAAATATTTATTTCTTTATAAGATATAAGTACGCATTTTCTTCGAGTTGCATTTAAAAAAAAAAAACATTTCATACATTTTTTTGTAATTTGATGTAAGCTTTTGCCGTTTCAATCAAAAATTGAAATAATACATCAACTTGTGTAATAATTCACGAATGTATATAAATTTTTTAATAAGTAACTCACACATAGCTATTAACTTGTAAGGAAAGATTTTAAATTGGTAAATTCTCACTGGCAATATGGAAGTATAAAGAAAATTTCTAAATCTTATATCAATATTTATGATATTTATATCTAGTGCAAAAAAGTACACACATACAGAGATATTTAGAAAGAAACTTTGCATTTTTTAAAGGAACAATTAGTTTCTAGAAAGGTATAATTATGTTTATCTGAATTTTTTTTAATGTGTGTGTGTGTGTGATGTATGTATTAACTTAATCAATTATATAATTCTTTAACAATTACAACAAAAATGTTTAATAAAAAAAAAAAAACCAAGAAAAGACCATAAAAGAGTCGACGCGGTTGTTGGTGCGTGAACTTTTTATTTATTAAATACAAAGCCAATGACACCCACCACACACACAAGCGTACACAATTGTTAAGGGTCACACATATCAGTTAGTGCAATATCAGATATGCCGTTTTGTTTAATTATTTTAATAATGAACGTTATTTGAAATTTTTTTTGTTTTTAACATAAACAAATTCGTGTTCGGTTCACTTGACCAGCGTCAACAAGAATGAGTTTGTTGATCAAACTTTCGATTACTTGGTCTACGTTCGGTAAAAAGTACTTGGTAACTACTCTACATAAATTTTCAAACATTACTTACGTTCTATATTTATAATTTATTTATATTATATAATTGTGTTATATATATATTATTTCACAAATATTTGTGAAATATTTTGTAATCTTCTTGCAAAAAAATTTTTATCTGTGAAACAAACTGTTAGTTTGTTCGTTAGCACCAAAGGATATGCAAAGATCCGTTCAGAGTGTTTATACGCAACAGATAATGTCAGAGTCAATGGTTCACACATTCCAAACGACACGCGCGCGCGTCTAATGTAAGCCGCAATTTCATTATTCCATTTAGCATTTGTATCTTCACTTTGAAATCGTCTTGTGATTTTATTTTATTTATTACTGTGTTATATGTAATGTATAATAATGTTTTCTTTTTTTTTATAATTGATGTATATATAGTCGAGGATACGAAAAAAATGTTGTATACTATGAGCGGACAAAATGCGTGATTGTCATACAATTCGAAAGACAATGGAAATGGAAACTCGATTTCGAAAATATTATATCGAGCGCATCTTTCACTTTCTTTCGAATACGTTCACATATCACGTTTAACGTTTTTTAATTATTATATCCGCTCGTTTGCTAAATGCAATAAAATAGACGGATTATGGATAAATATCAAGCGAACGAATAGCAAATAAGCAACGATTTATACAAACTTCTTTGATGCTTTAAAAATATATATGAATGCAAAATATTTTTGCTAGCATTTTATACGGTATTTTATTCGGTTCAATTTTCTTAACATAGAGAGATTATATTAAAAAATGTTTTTTTTTAAATATATTTTGAGTTTGTATGCACTGTGTGTTTATTTGTTATTTATTCCGACGCTATATGTTTTAAGTGGAGAGTGATACGAGAGAGTGAGCGAGCGACGCTTAACTGTTACTCGATATAGAGAGATTAAGGCTCGTCGCGATTGCTTATTCGTCGAAGAGAATAGAATCATCGGTTTATAATGCGCAATGTAATTCGACGACATCACGACTTCGAGAAAATACTATGTACAGAGTTCCTCTCTTCAACAACCAATTTTAATTATTTAACTATAACTATGAGATGAATTGTGTAAACACTGAGGTAAAATAATCACAGACGGAGCCTGTGATCTTAGTTATAAATAAACTGCGAAACATGTGATTAACATATATAATTTAGGATGTATAAGCAACACACACACAGGACTGATGGACTCTACTTATATTATTTTATTAGCATCTAAATAAATCGTTTTTACGGCGCGGCGTAACGAAACGAGGGAAATCGAAGCGCGACGAATATTCTGATCCTTTCCCTTCCTCTCTTTCTTTATTACGACGGAGTTCGTAACGCCAGCGAGAATGCTCAGATATTGTTATTCGTACATACAGTCGATGGCTCTGATAGCTCTGTAGCGCCAGCCGACTGGAGGCTATTATTTTTATATCTTTAATTAATTAATACGAGCGCGAAAGAAGGAGGAGGAGGCGTGTAAACTGGCTGCGACGGTAAAGCAGCTCTTTCGATCGACAGTTATTGAATTGCTGTCGCTGTATTATATATTTCATCTAGTTTAGATGTGTATTATTATTACGGAATTATTGTTTTACGCATATATCGACACGTTTGTACATAGACGAAAAATCATCGCAATTTATTTAAATAGATCTAATGTAAATAAATACTTATATGTAACAAATCTGCGATAATGTGATCCGATTAATAAAATAAGATTACTTAAAAATCTATATACCAATATGTGGTAATTATTAATCCTATACTCTTCTCTTGCGGATGACTTGTGGAAAGGGATAATTTTTGTAGCAAGACGTAAGGAAGGCACATTTTTATTTTGTCACGTCATCATGAATGTCATGCCGTTGCGATATGAACTCGAGAATTATCTGAAATTGTGAAAAAAAATGACATTATCAAAATCTTTTGTCAAGTATAACAGAACGGTTTTCTCGCTATGTTTTTACTGATATAATTTCAAAGTTAATCTTATATTGCAAATATTTTTTATTGAGAAGTAATAAATCTATTTAATCGTCTGAAATTTTTTATATTTTAACGTACCAATCGAAAGAGAAACTTTTATCGATTATCAAAGATTATATCTCGATCGAAGTTTAAATGTGTGTTACTTTTGATATAAAAGAAACTGTAAATTTATAATAAAATATTCAACGGACTTTGTTTTCAGCCGTATAAATACAAGTGACTAATATAAAATTGTTTGTACAAGTTGAACATTTCTGCAACCAAGCGCGAACCGTCATTTAATAATTATCTAAAAAAAAACAAGTCTTTAGAAAAAAAATACGTCGTTGCAAGTCTTTGTTACATATTCTCAAGCGTTGGCAACAATTTTTTACAAGCAATTAAGTAAAGTATAATTCCATTTGAAAACGTCTATTTGCAACGTGTTTTAAGTCGTAAAATATTTTAGCGCAATAAAACGAAGAGAAACAGAATTGTTCAATATTCGAAATCGCTGACGGTATAATCGCCTAAAAGAAAGAGAGAGAGAGAGAGAGAGAGAGAGAGGGAGAGAGAGAGAATGTTATTAATGCTAATATAATTCTTTACAACGTGTACACAATGCGACAATTCAAGTGTTCTCAAACACTTGACGTAAATTATTAACATACGTACCGAATGTTTTGCATTATTTCAAGCAAAATGCGTAATTGTTAAGTATCGTCCAGTTTACTTAAACAATGGCTGAAAAAGATTTCTAGCTTTTCTAAATTTAAACATCGAATCCATAAGAGAATGTTCAATATAAAAAAAAAAAAAAACTTAAACAATCATCTTTTAACATTTATCTTTTGCGTAAATGCATTTATGCAAAATTGCACTCCATCTTCTTTACTCGATTCAAAGAAACTCAAGCGATTTCAATCGATACTAAGGGAACTTCGTTGTTTGTAAGTGTGTTAGTCGAGAGAGAAATGAAATACTTATTCACACACATTTAACAATAGCTTCGAAAATCGTCGCGTTCTCTTCTCGCATAGATCCGTTGCGTTGATCCGTTCTAAATTAAATGCCGCTCGTTAAAAAACAAAGTTAGGCGTTATAAATATCGTTTAACGCAATACCACACGCAAGCGCACAGGTGAATAGATAATTTATTGGTTGTTCGATCGGAGCGTCGTGTGTGGAATCCGGATGCTCTTTGCGTTATTGATGAAATTAAGTGTCAGACCTTGCGGAGTTCTAAGCAAAGCGCGATATGATCGATAAGAGTGGGACGACTCGAGGCCTTGTTACGTTAAGAGATGCCGTTGTTTAACTATCTACATTCGCTTGATGACGACAGATCATCTCGCATCTCGTTGAGGCAAATATCAGAAGACGTTCAGACTGATCGACAAATCCAAGAGGACGAATACGATCCCTTTGCCGATCGTCCGTCCGCGCCTCTGATCTCGTACGTCATCCTTAAACATTATTTTTCTTGAAATTTTGTGTTTTTTTTTTTTTTTAGCCGTTGAATCAAATTTCAATGTGGTAACTGTCGTTCGCTGAATGTGCGTACACCTTACTTTTGAATGACAATTATTATCGTCATGTGTGTCTACATCAACAAAAAATTTTGCCAAACTATTATAATTATTTCTCGCAGCGAATTTTTTGCAAACACTCAATTAAAAGATTAACAATTAGCGCGATATATTTATCTTATTTGCACAATCTGCCGAGACATCGATAAAATTAATAGAACGGTAGTTTATTGTTTAATGATAAAAGAAAAACAATTCTTGCAGAGATTTTACCGCGTTCTCACATCTGATAAAATGCGCGATTGGTACTGGTATACTCTTTCTTCCGTACGCTTTTCGAAGAACCGGCTACGTGATATCCATCGTTTGCGGCATCCTCGTCACTTTGCTGTGCACTCATACGGCTATCCTTATTGTACGTGATAACATATATTCTTCGAAAGAAAAACAAATTATTCTCAGAGACAAATCTAAAACTTATCACCACAATTGAATGCGACAGAAAAGATATAGAGGAGGAGATAGAAAAAAAAAAGAATTAATAAGAAATAAGAAACGTTTTTATAAGAAAATATCTAATAATATCTAATAATAATTTTGATTTAAACATTAGTTTTTTATGTCACGCAAATAAATTTATATACTCTTCGAAAGAAAAACAAATTATTCTCAGAGACAAATCTAAAACTTATCACCACAATTGAATGTGACAAAAGGTATAGAGGAGATAGAAAAAAAAAAAAGAATTAATAAGAAATAAGAAACGTTTTTATAAGATAATATCTAAGTAATAATTTTGATTTAAACATTAGTTTTTTATGTCACGCAAATAAATTTATATATTCTTCGAAAGAAAAACAAATTATTCTCAGAGACAAATCTAAAACTTATCACCACAATTGAATGTGACAAAAGATATAGAGGAGGAGATAGAAAAAAAAAAAGAATTAATAAGAAATAAGAAACGTTTTTATAAGAAAATATCTAAGTAATAATTTTAATTTAAACATTAGTTTTTTATGTCACGCAAATAAATTTGTGTGATAAAAATTACACTTATTTGTTACTTCGAACCGATATTTTTACGTTAGTTTTTACATGTTTTTTTTTAATCCTTAACATTAGTTTTCGCGACGGTGTCCTTTAAGTTGTTTGCGCGTTGTCACCGCGTCGATAAGGATATATCGTCATTCCCTACGTATAATCCCGTAACTCCAAAACGCAAATTTTTAGAGGAGAGCAGTTTAAAAGCTTAAAGCTTCATATAGTTTCTCAAGTTAAGGAATCTTTCGGTTTTAAATTTTTTTTACCTTACTTATGAATATTTTTTTTTAATATTTGGTGATCATAAAGAACACGACTTTCTAAGCGTCACTATGCAATAAACTGAAAATCCCATATGTGACACTTATGTAATTATACGTAGGGAGTGACGATATGTAAGCTGTATCAAAAAAAAATACAGAAGAAAAGAAGGATTCCGCGTGCAAAAACGCAAATTCGAACGCACAGACAGGTTTTTTTTTTTTTTTTCTGGGTCCGCAGGTGCAGTGCTCGCAGGCGTTATGCAGACGCAATCGCGTACCCATGCTAGATTTCGCCGAAACGGCGCAATTCTCCTTCCAGTCCGGCCCGGAGAGGATTCGAAAGTACGCCAAGCTGTTCGGCGTGGTTACCAACATCATCATTTGCTTCGTGCAATTTCAAGCCGTCGTGATATACATCCTGTACGTGGCCACGTCGTTTCAGCAGGTACGGCGCATCGTAATCTCTTCACACGCCGGAAGTCGGAATGATGAAGTAACGTGAAAAATGAAACGTTCTATGACTCGATATGCGAAAGGAGATGATTGTTTAATACATATCTGGCTTCAATTTTTAATATCCGATCGCTTGATGAATTTTAAGTCGATAGTTTTATTCAAAAAAAAAGTTTCCCTGTTGTCGCTCGATATTTTTTTAGAAGAATAATAATTAAAAAAAAAAAAAAATCATTCTTAACATCGAACTGTTTGCAGATTGCAGCTACAGCGTTATCTTTTTATAACGCTTTTATTAAGGGCGTGGTCTCTTTATTATTCTTTCGTAGCTGCGGTCTTACCTCATACTTTTTTGACTTGTTGCAAAAACAGATTATGTAAACGACGACGATAATAACGGATTGCGGAAAATCGATATCTGTTAATCGTTGCATTTAGAAATGTGTTTAATCTCGATAATCTCGCAGATAGATCTGGATCTTTATAACGCGGTACTTCTTCGTGTTTTCCACATTTTTCAGGTAATCGAATTTTTCTCCGGCGTCAAAATGGATTCGCGAGTATACATCGTCATCTTTTTCCCCGTCATCTGTGTAATGGGACTGGTGCCGAATCTCAAGTACTTGGCGCCGTTCTCCGTCGTTGGTACCACCTTCTTGTTTCTCGGGGTCTGCACCGCGTTCTACTACTTCTTCCAAAACTTGCCCGATCCTCGCAGATTGGACGCCTTGACGGAGGTTTTGCCCGTACCTGTGTACTGCGCTATCTTCATGTTCTCCCTGCATAATACGACTCTATATTTGCCGTTGGAGAACACGATGAAATATCCAAACCACATGCCGCGTCTGATCGTCGGCAGTCTGTTGCTGAGCGCCGTCATTTATTTGACATTCGGCTTCTTCGGTTACAACAAGTATCCGAACACCTGCGACACCGTGATCAAAAACCTTCCGTTGGAAGAAACGTAGGTACACATTCGGTAAAAATTTCATTTTTCTTCTTGCAAAGCGTTCGTGTCGCTCTGTTCGTCAAATGAATTTAATTTGACGCTTCAATATATATGCGCGTGCGCGTTGATCTGTTTAATAAATTATTATTTCGCGATTTATTACAAACACAGCTTTGCGACACACAAATGTTTAGAGAAGTTACGCTATAGTTTTTTTTTAAGCAAACTGTTCATTATCGCTTGACGATCGATCTGTATAATTGATGAGAACGTGAATGGCGATTGAGCAGAGAGCTGAGTATGTTTTAAACTGATCACGCGTATTTTTACGTGTTCGGTATTCTGGATTTACTTTATCTTTTTTTTTGTTTACGTAGAAATCGCGCACACACCATATCGGTGTAACAAGTCCTTCGAATAAATTGAATTTAACAAAAGCGGAACGAACCGAGCAGCGAACCGTGGACATACCCAATTGCGCATAATCGTGTGAGGGTCAGTTCGAAAACAGAAACGTGAAGGATTAATTGACGAACTCGCAATTAGTTTGATCGAAGATTAAAGTTTAGTCGAATTATATCGTAATCGTTAAATACCTTAACGATAACAACGCGATAATGCGGTTCACGTGTGTGTTTCGATGAATTGTTCCGTCGCGATTTATCGAAGCTCGCGATCTCTCTCGATACGCTTTTGATCTCTTGTTCGTCACATCTACAAGTAGCTCTCAATCACTGTTTATCTGTGTTTCAATGATGATTTGTCTGTCATACATGTCCCTTATCAAACGCTATATATTTGTCAAGGTACACACGTGCCATTTTTACACAGACCTAATGTGTCACGGAGTTACAGACATCTAACAGACGTCTAACGAACGTGTTTGAGATTTTTTTTTTATAGAATTTTCAATGTTCCGAATATAGATGTAGTACACGGAAAAAAAAATGATGTTGAATCAACAGTATTAGTTTAATTGAAATACATCCTGTTGATGTAACATCAATATTATTGCGCTACACACAGCAGATAGTTGCTTTAAGAAATCTAGACATTAAATTAATCGCATACGCAATTGAATGAACTATTTATTTTTGTGGCAGCCCGTGACGTCAATTTTAATTGAAGCAACTCCATTTTTTTTTCTGTGTACAGTCGAGTTCTCGCAATTTCTTTATTTCTTTAACACGTTTAGTAATTTACATTAACTTTGAGAGTGAGATATATATATAAATATATAAATTAAAATTATAAATATATAAATATATATAAATTAAAACATATGTTGTAAATAATTGCTGTAATAATTTGTAATAATTGTTGTAATAATTTGTAAACATCATTTTCGTATATATTTTTACATATTATTTCTCCGTTTTTTCTTTCTCTCACTTTCTGGATAAATAATTGCAAATTTTTTTTTATAATTACAATTGTAATGAAATTATTGTAAAATGTCAATTCTATTGAAGATTATCTACTGAAATACTATCTATTCAAGATTAAGTTTTTATCTCTCTGATAATACTTAAATCAATTGCATTTGGCAAGTGATATGCTATCGGTACGCGATATAATCTCTTAGAGTAGCATCAATTGTAGACGCAGATTTGAAGATTCATTTCGATTTAAATATTCATTTTATTTGTGCAGTCTAGCCCAAATAGTCAAAGTAGCCATTTCGTCGTCGGTTCTGTTCTCAATTGGATTGGCTTACTACGTTCCGATCAGCATTATATGGCCGATGATTTACGCGAAAATTGCCGAGAAAAGTTTGCTGTATCATCATCTTTATGAAATCTCGTTGCGATTAGGCGGCGTAATTGGAACCAGTAAGTATATCGCGACGCGACTTGAATATCGATTAATAATAACGACGAAGCAAAGCAAAGTTGTCCTTGTGCTTCTTCGACAGCGCTGCTGGCCGTCGCGGTGCCCCAAATGGCGCCTTTGCTGGGTCTGTTCTCCGCCTTGAGCATGTCCACGATCATGCTGCTGATACCCATACTAATCGAGACGTCGACCAAGTGGGCGGAAATCACGAAAACGATGCTCGCGAAGAATATCGCTATTTTTATCGTGTGGCTGCTGATCTTGGTACAATTTTTTTTTTTTTGTTTCCAGAAATAAAGATCAAAATCTCTTCAAGAGAAAATAATCTTATTTAGTTTTTTTGTGAAAATTTTCAATTAACTAAGAAGTTTAAAATAATTTATCTTGATGAAACGTTTTTTTTTTTTATAGAAAACACAAACACAGATAAATAAAACTTGTTTTTTTTGTGTGTTACATTACGTAGATTTTCGGAGCGATAGAGAGCACATGGACAATTGTTCGAGAATACGGAGAAGTGAAACAAGAAGAATGCTGAGATGAATAAAAAATTGAGAGATAAGAAGAAGAAGCTTTTTTAAACTTATGAAAAATAAAATACTTCCGGGGAAACTACCGTTTAATATATAAAAGTACAAATGTGCCAGACGGTTTACATTTGAGAAGTCACATTTAGATTATTAAAGATTTATTTAAGAAACCGTGACATTAGGTTTTGTGAAAGATGCAGCGCAAAAAAAGTAGATAAGATACACCGGAGGAGACCTTTGATCGTTTCTTGATTGCGCGTTATCTGTGATTTTTTAGAAAGAATATTATTTCAATCATATGTGCATTGATTGTTTTTGTTTTTTTTTTTTCAACACTTGAATGTAGTTTCTCTCTTTTTTTAAACACGACGGAGTACATCAACATGGTTGACGCAATCTATATCGAGAGCCCTTAATTGCGATAAAGATTGGAATGTGAATGACGCTTGCGACATTTCACCGATATATATCTTTGATTTCCCCGAACGGGGTGTTTATATAACACGACGAGAGTTATATATATATATATATATTTCGCGCGACGTCGAAACAAGAGAGCGACAGAGAGAGCTCACAATGAGAAACTGCAGAGCGCGGTGTAACAAACAACGATGCGAGAGAAGGTGCAGAGTAGGAGAGAGGGACCTTCTCGGAGAGAAAGAATCAAAAGAGAGACGGCGAGAGAGCGCACCCTGAGAACGGAAGGAGACGCGGATATGGTGAAAGGGAGCGCGCTAAGGCGCAGAGAGCGCGAATCGAATCTGATCGCAGTCGAATAGCCGTCGTCCCTATGTGTAACGAAACTCGAGTATTACGAGCAACCTATTCTTTCTCTCGGCTTAGTAGTATATTTCTTAATAATTGGAAATATACCGACGGGTTTAAATAAGACGCCTGTCGTTTTATTTTTTTTGACGACTTATAAAGTGTGTTATTAAATTAAGTTCAGGCTCGCACACACGAGCCTCCGGTGTCTGGAAGATAAACGCGCACAATGGGATAGAAAGAATGCGGGAACTGTGCCGCAGGAATTGGGTGAAGGAAAAAAATGCAGAGAGTAGTACACACAATTGTGTTCGCCCGATAACCATAACGCGTTTTTTTTTCGATGATATGTATATATAATCTCGGTCAATTCGTATCTTCGCGTTATCAATTCGCGGAACAATTTGTTCATTCTTGACGAAGTTGCAAAATGTACATTAAATCCAAGTATTTTTTTTTTTTTTGTAAATTTCAGATTCTTTTCTTGTAGATTTTACATTCTCGTTGAATTGCGATATTTTATCTCAACATTTTTGCAATTTGATATCAAGATTCCAATAAAACAAGTTTTCGAATCATCGAATTGTTCTTCTCTTTACTCTGCGAGAAACTTTTATTTATAATTTATTTACTTGACCGAAGCTTCGTCCCAAAAATATTTTTCGAGCTCCTGTTGTCAATATACAAACACGTGATCTTTTGACAGAAGTGAATTTAAATATTTCAACTTACTCATTGTATATTTATCGCGCGTACTCCAAATTGAGCGTCCAATTGAACGTATTACGCACATCTACTATCTAACTCTACCTCCCTCCCCGGGTTTGACCGTATAAGCGAGGAAGTATAGTCACTGACGTGCAATGACTGTTCGTATATATACCTGGCCAACGCTAAAGGTATTTGCCCAGTCGTGTGCGGTCTGTCACCGTTTCACGTTATAAATCCGTTACTTTGTTTTTTTTTTTTTTACTTGTGATCCTGAAGAACAGTGAGACTTTTTTGATATATGTATATTTCGACAAAATCAACGGATGCAACACCACTCACCGCGTCGAAAGAGAAAAAAACGACAATTAAAAATCCACATTTTGGTTTCTTAACGAGAGAAGTTCATCAATTTTCCGGACGATTGTGTGAGAGTTAATCGATGTGCGAAATAAAATTTGTCTTGCTGTCAAAATATCGACCGTAATTTTTCAGTGTGGAATTGAAAAAGTTTACGTGCGAACGCACACTGATGAATTATCAGACAACAATACTGTTGAAAAATCGGAAAATTTTTCTCACGGAGTTACAATCGTCTTTCATCTTCTTGCGGAGCGCAAGTTCGAATTATCTTTGATTCAACGAGAAAGATCAACGCAAAGCGGATAACAACAACAATCGACGAGCTGACATCGTCCTCAAAGGACGATTTACTTGGGATCGTTGTTTCTTAGTGCAATTGTGAATTGTGTGACTTATCGAATTTTTGCCGAGATCTCGTAAATTATGTGCCCGCCGAATGTTTGAAAATTAAGCCGATAAATCGTTATCTGGTTTGTTATATAACAATTGTAGTATTTAAAAACGAAAACGCGAAAGAAGACGAAATCTTGGATCGGGATTTACGATTTTATTCCAAAATATATGTATTTTTGCTTTCTACGAGAAGAAAAACAAAAAACAAAAAATAAAAAAGAGGCAGAGAAGGCGGACAAAGAGAATAAAAGATTTCGGATAAAAAGAAGATTAGGCGGGAAGTCGAACAAGAATATCTCGACATTTGCATTCGTTTAGAGAACGATATAAACGTGGATTTAACGTCGTCAACAAGAGGAAAACTACATTCTACATAAATCAAGAGCGCGCATTTTTTTTTTGCATTTGCGTCTCGTTGTAAATTATAAGTAAGTATAATTGCAACGCGCAGAAGTGTTACGTATTTATGTATTACAAAATGTATTATAAATACTTAAAGCACATTTTATAGCTATATACACTACTGGTAATACATAAGTATGTATTTTTACGATCTAGTTCCGCGAGTTTCAAAGTTTTTTGCAAAGTAAATTCACTTCTAAAAGATATTAGTATAAAGTATCTAGTTACTATGTATCATTACGTTGTTGTCGATGAGATAGCAATGCACGTGTAAATAGTTGTTGCTAGTAAACATTACTGAGAAATAAAGCATGAACAAAAGTTTGCATTTTTTTTTTAAATGTCATCCGATTGATACATTTTACAAAGAGATCACAACATTATTTGTGAAAGTTAGAAAGTCGTCACCTTTCAGACGCAATTCATCTTTTTGTTGAAAAGTAAAAATAAAATTTTTATTGTAATAATTTATTTATAATAATAATTATAAAAGAATGTTTTGCAATACGAGATTGTCACTTATGAAAAAAATGTTCAAGTATCTAGTTTTACGAAGTTTGGATATTTTCTTTTTTTTTTTTTTAAATTCTTTTAAAATTACACAAAGAAATCGCGCGCAAAGTTTACTTAAAACAAGTGTATTCAAGTCTTACGGTTAATGTAAAGCTTATCTGGAAGATTACGAATCTCTGTCTCTCTCTCTGTCTTTTTTATTCTTTCTTAAATAATTCGCTTATTAATTTACTAAGAACTCTATCGTGCGAACAATATTACAAAAAATTCTCTTTCATGGTTTTAATATCTTATCTCGATATGACGCGTAAAGGGAAATGTATGTGACATTAATATACGTATGTAATAAAAATGTAAAAAACTTTCTCTCTCTCTCTGGAAATATGAATAAATTATGCCTTTTCTCAAATGTTTTTTATTGATACTTGGACACAGCGTGTCTTATCATAAAAATTATAAATGACGTGTTAAGATAGATTAGACATGGATGCGCTAACTTGAGAATAAAAATCTATGTTTTATTCGCAAAGATATATATAACAAGTAAAATAGATTCAAAACGATTGTTAAATTTATAACATCATCTTTCACGTCAGTACACGGGTAATAGATTTTCAAGAAGCTAAAGTTTATCTCTGCTGGTATTTACATCTCATTGTATTTATAATATTTTCCACACACATTCACTTCTCGGATTTGTCCTTTATGATCTCTCTGTCTCTCTTCGACTTGGAATATTTATGAGTCTGGAAAGAAAAATTGTACAAGTCCTTCAAAACGCTAAAATCTCTTGCGTATATATTGCATGATTACTTAAACAATCAAGGATTCATCGCGCGATAGTCCGCAATTATGTATTCAAATCCATTTGTTGCCATTACGTGACATCACAGCGATTTGTAAAAACTTTTTAACTGTTATCTGCTTTTACGTAAAATGGCGAAAGCAGATCAAGAATCGATCGCTTTCGGTTAACTGCGGTCTTGAGCGTAATATAATTCCTCTTGCACAACTTCTTCGTCTCGTTTTTGTTTTTTTATATTCCATTAATTTCTCAAGCAAATCTCAGCTCGTGTTATTATTTATCGTGAGTTGCAAAAAAAAAAACGTTTCGTCTTCGAGAGAAATCGATTCTTTTGACTTTTGATGGTATAAATAAATTTTGGCGAAACTTTTGCAAAAAAACTTGGTCAAGGTAAAACGTCATATAACATTTTTTTATGCATATCTTTATGTACGTTACACACACAGCTGTATTATTTTTATTTTCACATAAGTTAGTGATTCAGCGATAATCATTTTTTATACATCTGGTTTTTTTTATTTTGGATTTGTTATTATCTTATATAACACTCTTGCAGAACATTTGACCGCAAATACAATAAAGTGTATTATTTATTTTTTCTCTTCGTCGATTCAAAGTATCCGTTATTTTTTAAAAGCACATTCACAAGAGAATTATAATATTTTTATCGCAACTAAAATTATTTAAACTGCAACAAACATTTCACTTGACTCATTTGACTGTGTTTTTCCCGTTAGTTAAAAATCAAATTATTGTTTTTAATGCAAATAGATTTTATCTATTTTTTTTTGCATTTGGCGCGATATTACGAACATTTCATATAAAAACTTTATTAACATAAAAAAAACCGGTCGCAATTTACAATATCGGCAGGCAGTTTAATATTAAAAAAAAAAAGAGTTGCACAAATTACAGCGGTTACACATCAAGTGTAATTTGTTCTTGTTGCTTTTAAAGTACAGGATTTTACCAGTTAAATCACCACATAACATCGCGATATTATTTAATCAACGTGTGGTTAAGTATTTTATATGTGCGATGATAGCAATAAAAAGCTTTCTTTTATGTTCAAACAATTTACTTGACTTGATAACGCATTATCAGCAAGCATTTAATATTTGATGCGCTGACGATTTATTTTATAGTTTTAAGATTGCCGGTATTATAATCGATGAGTGACGAAATAAAAAAGAAAAATCCAATATTGTTCGCTTTATTTTCTCAAGTAAACAAACTTAATAATATCCAAGTGTGTGTTTTTTTGTCACATTGTTAAATTGATTATTTTCAAAATTATTGTTAAATCGGTAGACTATTATAATACACGTAGTATTTCTATTTTAATTGATTTTATTGTAAATAATATATATATAATTAATTACAATTTGCAAAAAAATTTTTATTTTAGAAACACTGCCATGGGTCGATCAGAAAAAGAATCAACCACCGGTAATCCGATGTCGGAATTCAGTAGCAGGTATATACGTTTGTTATATTAAACTATATTACATTACGTGACAATCTAAAAACGGAAGTTAATCTCAAACACTTGTTATTACATTGTAAGATTCATTAATTACGTTGCGATAACAACGTAATTAATTACGTTACGTTTTTTATTACGTTACGTAATTTATCAACACAAATGACTTGAGCAAAGTCGTGCAAATTATAATAATAATCGAGTATGAAGAAAAACATTAATTAAGATTCGCTCTTAATGAGCAATCATTGTTTAGGACAGTTTATTACAGATACATAACGTAACTTTTTTGTATAGCATCTGCAAAAGTAATCGTTATTGATTAACGAATGGAATGCAATTTTATCGAGTTGGCACGAAGATACGAAGCACGTTTTAAGAGCGTGGTTCTCGTTCCCTCTCCCGTAATCTAAACTGAATCTCAACTTATATTAATGTCAAACTCTACGAGTTGTGACAAATAACGTTGCGAAATATATATTCGGCGAAAATGTTCTCTATTATTCAATATCCAATACGATGTCGAATTATTGCATTTTATATTAAGATTTAACATTGTATATAGAATTTACATTAAGCAACATGTCTTGAAGTTATTATAATTTATAGTTTTATGCGAAATATCTCTCAATATTTCTAATATTACATAAAATTCTTTTGGTTATACTTATTTGTATTTAAAAAATATCTTATTTATAAAACTGCATGTTTTTTTTTTCTGCTAAATTTTAGTACGCAGATAGCTCCGACCGTTATCGGCGAGTACAAGGAAAAAGATGAGCTACAATACAATCCTTTCGACTATCGTGACAAACAGCATGCGACCTCGTAAGTCTTGTTCTTTGTCGACAAATGTTAACAGAAACATTGGAATATTTTATATTTTCTGCATATTCCTGACGTGTATATATTTTGTGTCTTAACTAGTCCTCAAAACAATTGGCAAAGTATAAAACTGCAGTAGTTATACATATCTGCGATATGTATAAACGGTCATTTAGCTATCTTCGATATGCATTCTAATGATGTAGATAATAACGACAATGTTTAAAAAAAAAAAAAAAAAAAAAAAAAAAAAAAAAAAAAAAAAAAAAAAAACTAATAATGTGTTTTTATAGAAATGTTTCTTGTATGTAATTTTTTACACATTCTTTTTTTCAGAGATCTGGGTGCTGCTATGCACCTCTTGAAATCCTCTCTGGGAACGGGAATCCTGGCAATGCCGTACGCGATAATGAACGGCGGGTTGCTGTTCGGTGGTATTGGCACAATCATAATCGGTCTTATCTGCGCTCACTGCGTTCATATACTTGTACGCACGTCTCACGTGCTCTGTAGACGCACCAAGACACCGCAATTGACATACGCCGAAACGGCGTACATGGCCTTTCTCTACGGACCTAAGAACATCAGATCCTGGGCCAACATGAGCAAGATATTCGTAAACACAGCACTGTGCGCGACTTACGTAGGCGGCACGTGTGTTTACGTTGTGTTCGTTGCCACGTCTATTAAGCAGGTATAAGGCGCCTTGCATAATTCACGGTCACATATATCACTTTGCTCCGAGACGCTCAAATACAATCAAAGATCTTATATTTTTACTGTAAATATAGATCTCTCAATCTAAAGTCGGATGTGTGAACATGCTATTTATTCTATTTAAGGAATCTAAAACGAGAGAGATATATCCAATTAGGATTTACCTGTTCCTTTTTTTACACGCAAACACGGACAAGTGCTTTCTTTACAGTGGCTCGCTTCCTTCGCGAAAACGGTGTCGCGATGTCGCCTCGAGCCCTTCCATAAGTCACAACCAAGTCGATTCTAGTTCTGATTCCGTCACGTTTTTTCTTCTCTCATCAGGTTATGGACTATAACACCAACACGGATATAGACACACGTCTGTACATCGTCGCGTTGATCCCGGGATTGCTGTTGCTCGGTCAGGTGCGCAAGCTCAAGTACTTGGTGCCGTTCTCATTGCTGGCCAACTGCTGTATGATAAGCGGCTTCGCGATCACGCTTTATTATATCTTTACCGGTATAAGATCGTTCGAGAACAATAAACTGTTCTCCTCGGCAGGTCAACTGCCCCGTTTCTTCGCAACTGTGATATTCGCCATCGAAGGTATCGGCGTTGTAAGTTTCGCGGTAGCAATATATATATTCAACCGCGCGCATTCTCTTAACTTTTTTTTCTCATTCTTCTTTTAAATTTCTTACATCTGACACCGATCGTGACATTGATCGCAGGTAATGCCTGTGGCAAACAACATGCAAAAACCGAACCACTTTCTAGGATGTCCTAGCGTACTCAACATTGTTATGTCGATAGTGGTGAGTCTATACGCCATAATGGGAGTCTTCGGTTATCTCGCCTACGGCGAGAATTCGGCTCCTAGCATCACATTTAATTTACCTAAAGACGAAGTGTGAGTAATTATTGATTTGTTGTCTAAATATTATTATTATTATAATATAATATTAATATTATTATTATATAATAATATTAATATTATAATTTTATTATTAGAGGAGAATTAAATATACGTATATATATGAAAGGTATTTTAGACATAGTATATATATGTGTT